AAACAGATTGTGATGACGTCTCAGGCGCGGCGCTGGTTTCAGCACCTTTACGGGGAGCCGCCAAGGGGTATGACACGGTCCCGTTCGCGGCCTTTTTGTGGGGATGTCTTAAGCGGTGCTTGTTTTCTGCCCCAGCATCCTTGGCTACCAAAGCAGATTGTGAGGATGTCTCAGGCGGGGCGCTGGTTTCAGCACCCCTAAGGGGGACCGCCAAGGGGTATGACACGGTCCCGTTCGCGGCCTTTTTGTGGGGATGTCTCAAGCGGTTTGCTTGTTTTCTGCCCAGCATCGTTCGCTTGGAGAGCAGATTGTGCGAATGTCTCAGGCGGGGCGCTGAAAGTTTTTCCGATTCTTCCAAGTCTGTCAGGTGTCCTAAGTCGCCCAAGCCTCCCTAGCTTCCCACGCTTCCCAAGTATCCCAAGTGTCCCATGTCTTCCATGCCCCCCCAACTTTCTAAAATCCCCCAAGTCCCGCAAGTCTCTCCCACGTTTTCCATGTCTCCCAGCAGGAACACCAAGTCTCCTCAGTCTGTCAAGTCTCCCGTGGCGACCAACTCTCCCAAGTCTCCCATGTCGCCCAAGGTTCGCAAGCCTCCCAAGTCTTCCGAGTCTCCCAAGTGCCCCATGTCTCCCAAGTCTCCCAAAGTTCCCAAGGCTCCCAAGGCCCCCAAATCTACCACGTCTCCCAAGTCTCCCGCGTTCCCCGAGTCTCCCAAGTCACCCAAACCTCCCACGTCATCGCTATGACCTATGAGGAGGAGGAACGAAGAGGATGGGCGCATATTCAGTCGTATTCAAACCTCACGCTCACTCATGCTCACGCACATCGGTGTCTAACCGTCATCGTCGGACCTGTCGACCACGTGGACGCGCTCTGTTAGTCAGGAATTCATAGAGAAACGTTCACTATGGCATATCATAAAGCATGCAATGCGCATATGGGGAGCTCCACGCAGTGAGTAATTTTCACGTCCCTAAGGGGAGCCGCCGAAGGGTATTGCACGGTCCCGTTCGCAGCCGTTTTGTGGGGATGTCTCAAGCGGTTCGCCCGTTTTCTGTCCCAACATCCTTCGCTTTCGGAGCAGATTTGGAGGATGTCTCGAGCGAGGCGCTCATTTTCACGTCCCTAAGGGGAGCCGCCGAGGAGTATTGCACGGTCCCGTTCGCGGCCGTTTTGCGGGGATGTCTCAAGCGGTTTGCTTGTTGTCTGTCCCAGCATCCTTCGCTTTCGGAGCAATTTTGGAGGAGTCTCGAGCGAGGCGCTCAGAGTTTCACCCCACTAAGGGAAGCCGCCGAAGGGGTATTGCACGGTCCCGTTCGCGGCCGTTTGTGGGGATGTATAATTCGGGGGCCCCCAAACGGGGTGGTGACCGCACCGTGTGGTGAGTCGGTGGGGATTCGGGATCACCGCGCGGTTTTGGGACCCGGGTCGTTCTCCGAGGACGTCTCGGGCGACTGGGGCATCCGAGGTCCCAAGACCGTGCGGTGACGGACCGTGCGGTGAGGTCTTGGGGACTTCGAGGTCACCGCACGGTCTGTCACCCTACCGTTTCGGGACTCCGGGCTCCAGGCGAGGCCTTTCGCGCCAGTCACTGGTGCTGGCGGGCGCCGGCAGCGGATGCGGTGCGCCTCCCATGACCGAGCGCCTGTTGGGCCATTCCGCTGCCGTGCTCGGGTGGTCCCCCTGGCCTGTGCCAGGGGTTCGCGCGTGGTTTGGTTGCAGGTGGGCGTCGTGGCACGTCTGGGCGCGCAGGGGAGGATGAGAAGGAGGATGGGAGGGGGGGCGGGGCCAGAGGAGGAGGAGGAGGAGGAGGAGGAGGAGGAGGAGGAGGAGGAGGAGGAGGAGGAGGAGAAGGAAAAGGAGGAGGGGGAGGAGAAGGAGGAGGAGGGGGACGAGGAGGACGAGTGCAAACCCAAGATTGATACTGGGGCGCTTTCAAATAGCACAGGCCAAAATCGACGTGTGCTATTGCGATGGGTCGCTTTTGACGTATGGTCAATCTTCGAACGCAGTGTTTCTTCGTATTTTCTGAACCCAATGTTTGGATGTCTCGGATACTTTGTTTTTTTTTGTGCTCAGGGGAGGTCGAGAACGGCCCCTTTCCAAGTTTCTGTGTGCTAATCTCGTCCCCTGTTTCGTGCTACGTGCGCGTTGTGCTATCCTCGCCCTTCCCCCATGACTTGAGGGAGAGAAAGAGAGCTGGAGGGAGGAGGGGGGCCGGACGTGGAGGTAGAGGTGCAGCAACAGGTAAAGGGAACGGTGACATGTATACTATTGTTTTCGGTGCCCCCACTCCTGCTGACCAGTGCTATGTTGGCCCCGTGTGCCTCCTCGTCTCCCTCCTCGCCCTTGCACCGTGCACCCGTGCCGCGCGAGGCCATTCCTCGGATCCCCCCCTGCTCCCAGAGCGAAGGAGAGATGCAGTAGGAGCTCGACGACAAGAAACATTCCAAAAGACACCCGACCCTGAGACCCCAGGGCGCCCATTGATTTTTTTGGGGGGGAGTGCCATGCTCTCCATGGCCAAACAGACGAAACCCGAGGATCCCTGGGCAGCCTGGGGGCAAGCAGGATGTTTCTTAGCGTGGGTCTTCGTCCTCCCCCCCCATCCTCCTCCTCCTCCTCCTCCTCCTCCTCCTCCTGCTCCTCCTCCTCCTCCTCCTCCTCCTCCTCGTCCTCCTCCTCCCCCTCCTCCTCCTCCCCTTCCTCCTCCTCCTCCTCGTCCTCCTCCTCCTCCTCGTCATCATTATCGTCCTCCTCCTTGCCCCTTTCCATCGAACCTCCTCTTTCAGGGGCGATGCCCCCAATCCTGCTGGCCGGTGCTATGTTGGTCTCGCGTGTCTTTTCTTCCCCCTCCTCGTCCTCGTCCTTTTTCTTGGTGATCCCCAAACGTGGTGGTGAGAACACCCGGTGGTGAGTTTTGGGCGATTTGGGTAATGGTTTTCGAGCGCTGGCTGGCCCAGGAAACGCAAAACCTCGTGGCGACCGCGTGTCCCCAAACCCGGTGGTGACCCAGAATTATTTTTTTTGGGAATCGGGGTCACCACCGGGTGTCTCACCACCTGGTTTGGAGACCACCAATTTTCCTCCACCTCCGCCTCGCCCTCCTCTTCCTAGCCCGTTTCCGTCGAACCTCGCCCTTCAGGGGCGATGCCCCCAGTCCTGCTGACCTGTCCTCCTCCTCGCCCCTTTCCATCGAACCTCCTCTTCCAGGGGCGATGCCCCCAATCCTGCCGACCTGTGCTATGATGTTCCCGCTCGTTTCTTCGTTTCCCTCCTCGTCCTTCTCCTCCTCCACCTCCTGCTCTTTCTCCCGACGGCGGCCGTCAGCGTAGCTCTGTGCCATCGTCAGAATTACCCGGGGACCAGCGTTCGATTTGACGTGGGCAAAAGGTGTCTCCTCCTCCTTCCCCCTCTACTCCCCCTCCCCCCCTCCTCCTCCCCGCCCCGCCCCCCCGCCTGACTTGGTTTCGGCGGAACGGCTCGCGTGGCACGCGGCTCACGTGGCGCGCGTCAGGGGGGCCCCCTTCTCTCGCCGCCGGGGCTGCCCTCGCCGACAGAGTCGAGAAGATTCGCGCGGAACGCGAGTCACGTGGCGCAGATCACCCTCGATAACAACGTTCCCGATCCCAAACATGAGAAATTAGTTTAGGAGGCCAAAATCGTTTTCCCGATTTGTGCCGTTGTCGCCGTGCTATTCGTGAGCGACCGATACTGCCAAAGATGTTGGTGTATACTCTCCCTCTTAGGTTCCTTCTTCGTGCCAGAACACCGTTCTTGGGACCTCAACGCCTCGAATCACCGTTACTGATGTGTGTTGAACATCTTGGAGCGTGTATGAACACCACTTCTGGGACTTCAGCACCGCGAGCCGACGAAATCGTTGCGCCCTGTCAGTCCGACGTCGTGCCAGCGCATCATTTTTGGTATGCTAAAACCGTGCGAAGCCTGGAAACTCTTGTAAACTCTTGAACCGAATCTGCGCGTCGTTTGGGCGAGAGCAGCATTGTGAAAAGGAGCCGCCCTCCATCCGCGAAGGTGTTGCACACTTTATGACGACTGTGTGCGGCGCTGAGGCGGGAACCGCATCTTGAAAACGACCCGCCCTGCGTCCGTGGGGTGTGTTTAGCAACGTTGTTGGCGCATCCTCGGTGTTCGCCCTCCCCTTTGCACCCCTGCCCCTGTTGCCGCTCTTCCTTGTGTCCCCTGGTCTCTCTCCCTTCCTCTTCTATGACTATTCCTCCCCTCGTGCTCGTCCCGCCTCCGCATTCTCTCCTTCCTCTTCTCTCCTGCCTCGTCCCTCTGTCTTCTTCCGTCCATCCTTCTGCCGACGCAAAAACAGAAGATTATGTTGTGCCGCATTTGGATACGGATTCTGGATGCAAAACGGCGGCTGCAACGGAATTTGTTTGTGGCCAGCGGTCACCGATAACCAGGGCAAGTGGAACTGCAAACCTGATTCTTGGGACCCGGGTCTATCAAAACGTGTGCAAAACGCTCACTTCGTCGACCTCGCAATTTGTGTATCGGCGATCGGGTTCCACGTTTCGTAGTAGTTGTGGAGGTGACTGGCGATTCACAACATGGGACCGTGTTTTGCGCACGCAGATGCGAATTCATATGCCTATCGTGCACGACGGCTGACAACGACACTAGAACAGGAGATCGATTGAGCATGTCGGCCAATGTATTCTTCCACGTTCTGGCAGTTGCCGGCTCCGCGGCGCCGATGCTTTGCCCCCCGTACGCCGTCCCCTGGGACGACAGAAGCGCCGTCTGCAAGCTCTCCTCTTTCCTCCTTCCTGTTAAGTCCCCAGTCGTCGCTACAGTGGAGACCCATAACAAGAAACACTTTGCTTGCCTCCAGGGTGCCCTGGGTTTCTTGGGTTTCGCTGGGGTCTCAGGGTTGGGTTTCTCGTGGAAGGTTTCCTTGTGGAGTGGCCTCCGCTCTATATGCTCGCAGTCCGCTGCAGCCCGCTGCCCACCGTCCCCCGTCGCAGGATGGCTGCCTTGTCGTGGGCCTCCTGCCCCACAAGCGCGGCTCCGGGCGGGTGATCTCCGTGGGGCTGCTGGCAGCCGAGGGCCCAGCCGGCCCGCGGGTCGAGGATCGAGGGCCGAGGATCGAGGAGCGAAGTTTGACGATCGAGGATCGAGGGTCGATCGATGGTGAGGAGGATGAAGATGAGGAGGACGAAGAGAAAGAAATGGAGGAGGAGGAAGAGGAGGAGGAGGAGGAGGGGAGGAGGATCGAGGATCGAGGTGTCTGGATGTGTCTGGGGCCCTCTTTGGTCTTCTGGGCGTCGTCGTCGTCGTCGTCGTCGTCGTCGTCGTCGTCGTGGTTGTCATCGTCGTCGTCGTTGTCGTGGTGGTAGTCATCGTCGTCGTCGTCGTGGTTGATAGCCGTTGCGATGGTGGTCGTCGTGGTGGTCTTGGTCGTGGTCGTCGTGGTCGTCGTGGTCTTCGTTGCCGTCATCGTCGTCGTCGTCGTCGTCGTCGTCGTCGTCGTCGTCGTCGTTGTCATCGTCGTCATCTTCGGTGCCGTCATGGTCGTCGTGGTCCAGGTCGTCGTTGGCTTGGCCGCTCTCGTCTTCGTTGGCGTAATCGTCGTCATCGTCGTAGTTGTGGTGGTGGTGGTCGTCGCCGTGGTCATCGCTTTCGTGGTCGTGGTGGTGGTGGTAGGCATGGTGGTGGTCGTCGTGGTCGTCATGCCAGTCGTGGTCGTCGTCTTGGTTGTCGTGGTCGTGGTCGTTGTCGTTGCTGTCATCGTTGTCATGATTGTCGTTGTTGTTGTGGTTTCTGTCGCCGTCGTGATCGTCGCGATTGTCGTGGTCGTGGTCGTGTTCGTCGTCTCAGGAGCAGGCGGATGATGAATGGAAAGGCAAGTGGGAGGAGGAGGAGAAGGAGGAGAAGGAGGAGAAGGCGTAAGATGAGGAGGCATACGATGAGGAGAAGTATCAGTAATTAGTGGGGGACGAGGTTACGATGATGAGGATGATGTTGATGTTGTTGATGTTGATGTTGATGGTGATGTTGATGATGCTGATGCTGATGCTGATGATGATGATGACGATGATGATGATGCTGATCATGATGCTGATGCTGATTATGATGATGATGGTGATGATAACACTACTGATGATGATGATGATGATGATGACGATGCTGAAGCTGATGATGATGCTGATGGTGGTGGTGATGATGATGACGATGCTGATGCTGATGATGATGCTGATGATGATGCTGCTGATGATGATGATGATGATGATGCTGATACTGATGCAAATGAGGATGAGGATGAGAATGGGGAGGAGGAGGGGGAGGAGGAGGAGGAGTAATAGGAGCATGACCAGGATGATTGTGAAGAGGACGTGGAGGATTCAGCTGATGCTGACGACGACTGTGGTAGTGTTGATGATGATGCTGCTGCTGCTGCTAATGATGACGATGATGATGACGATGCTGATGATGTTGATGATGCTGATCATTATCTGATGCTGATGCTGACGATGCTGATGGTGCTGAGGTTGAAGAAGCTGATGATTCTGCTGATAGTATTGTTAATGATAATGCTGAGGCTGATGCTGATGCTGATGATGATGACGATGATGATGAGGATGATGATGATGATTATGTTGATGCTGATGATGCTTATAGCCATAATCATGGTGGTGATGGTGGTGGGGTTGGTAATGATGATGATGATGAGGATGATGATGAGGATGATGATGCTGATGGTGGTTGTGATGATGATGACGATGCTGATGTTGATGCTGATGCTGATTCTGCTGCTGCTGCTAATACGGATGAGGATGACGATGATGAGGGTGATGAGAATGCTGCTGATGATGATGGTAATGCTGATGCTGATGCTGATACGGGTGATGATACTGATGCTGATGATGATGCTGATGATGATGCTCATGATGATGATGATGATGACGATGCTGATGCTGCTGCCGCTGGTGATGATGCGGCTGATGATGCTGATGATGTTGATGACGATACTGATGATGATGCTGATGCTGATGATGATGCTGATGATGTTGCTGCTGTTGTTGATGATGATGCGGATTATGAGGATGATGCTGATGCTGTTGATGATGGTGATTATGCTGCTGATGCTGCTGATGATGATGATACTGATGATGCTGATGGTGATGATCATGATGCTGACGATGACGATGATCATGCTGCTGATGATGATGATGATGACGATGCTGATGACGATGATGCTGATTATTATGACGATGATGATGCTGAGGATGCTGATGATGAGGATGATGAAGATGATGTTGATGATGCTGATTATGATGATGATGATGGTGATGATGATGATGATGATGATGATGATGATGATGATAACGATGGTGATGATGGTGATGATGCTGATGATGATGGTGATGATGCTGATGCTGCTGCTTATGATGATGATGCTGCTGATGATGATGATGATGATGTTGATGATGAGTATGATGATGCTGCTGCTGCTGCTGATGATGATGATGATGAGGATGATGCTGATGATGATGATGATGATGATGATGATGATGATGATGATGATGATGATGATGATGATGATGATGATGACAATGCTGCTGCTGCTGATGATGATGATGATGATATTGGTTGTGGGGGTGGTGGTGGTGGTGCGGATGAGGGGGAGGAGGAGGAGAATGAGGAGGAGGAGGAGGAGGAGGAGGAGGACGAGGAGGAGTGGGAGGAGGAGCAGGAGGACGAGGAGGAGGAGAAGGAGGATGAGGAGGACGCCGAGATCGATGCGGACGAGCAGGGCACGGGATGATGAGGAGGAGAACAATGCAGAGCATCTAATTAGGATATGGGCGTTACGGGATTATGAGGAGGGTGGCGACCAAAACGAGAGCGAGGATGTGGAGCAGCGACAGCTTCGCCGAGGCAGCGCAGAAGGAGCTGATCGAGACTACCAAACTGGCGCACTGCCAAGGTGGGCTGATTCGGGAGGGCCATCCAACAGTTACACGATATGAATAAGACTCCTCCCTTCCCCGAAGACGTGCTGAGAGGATGTATTGCCCCGAACGTCCTCGATCCTCCCACGTTTTCGGGCTGGCGCTTTGCTCCCGTCCTCCAGGATGGCGCTCGAGTGTTGGCCACATTTCTTGATCCGCCTGCTTCCTCGCCATTGTTGCCCCCTTTCCCTTTCCCCTCACCCGCCTTCCCCTGGTCCTCCTGCCCCTTCCGCTCCTCTTGCT